AACCTAGAATCCCAGTATCACAAAGAGAGGGAGAACCCTAGGTTTTGATAGAGCTAAAGACTTTTTTGTCTGAGAACTGTAAAGTGCATTTTAACTTTGTTGTTATTTGGTGGTTTGGTTTTTTATTATTGTTTTGGTACTGAGGATTGAACCCATACATCCCCCAGCCCTTGATATTCTTTGAGACAGGGCCTTCCTTARTTGTAGAGGTTGGCCTTGAACCTGTAATCCTCCTGCCTYGGTCTCCCAAATTGCTGGGATTACAGGCTGCAACACTGCACCCACCCAGTTGTTGAACAGTTTTACTGTGCAGTTAACCTAGGTGCTGTGACAGCCTGTGGTGTGATGGGGTTTTTACAATGTTGGTTGATATTAGGAACCAGTTTCATTTTTTTTACCTTTTGCTAAATAGAATTTGATTCAGATTACCAAAAACTCTTGGTAGATGCATATTATAAACATTCATCCTACAAACAGGTCTAGACTGGTCTGCACAAGTACTGGCATACAGAGAGACAGAGCAGTGGGATGGATGTACATGGAGACTTACTAGGGGAACTGGCACTTGGTTACAGAGCCTGGGAAAGTCCCACAATAGGCATTTTGCATGCTGGAGAAGGCTGGGGCGCCAAGCTCACCCAGTCCATCTGAAAGCCTGAGAGCTTGGGAGTCTGACGTTCCAGCCCCAGAGAGGCATATTTCCCCTTGCTGCCTTCTTGTTCCCTCAGGGCCCCATAGGATGGTGCGCCTGCATCCATGGTGGATCTTCCATACCCGGCCCTTTGCCTTTGCCAGCCCTGCAGATTCCCGTTAAACTTTCAGGTTGGCACCTGATGTCAGCATTCAAGATCACAGTTAAAAACAGTGGACTTACATGCAAAATATATAATTGTCATCTTTATATAAACTAGATCTATTTTATTCTTTGTCCAAAGTATTTCCCATTGTTCGGGATTCGGTTTTTCACTAACTTAAATTCCATTAATCTGTATGTCTAGAATTTTCTGTAAGATCCTCACCTACCCCTATTGCCAGGGGAGTTCTATGAATTGAGTGGGATCAGTGGCGTATAATTGTGCTTGTTGATGTCTTTTTTCCACCTTCCCAGGTCACACTCACCTAGCTGTCTTGTAGCCTCTGGATGGCTGCCATGCTGTGGTTCGTGGGTACTGGTAGAGGTTCCCAAGCCCAGATGATTTGGGTGACCTTTATGGTGACTCAGCCTCATTCCCTACTTGAAAAGGGAAGCCTTGTAGCCTTGAGTGAAGATGAGAAGGGCAGTTCACCTATAGCCAATGCTGTGGTCATGCAGAGGCTGGTCTGCCAACCAGAGGCAATGTGAGAACTACTGAGGGATGCTGTCCACCATGGGAGGTCTTAGCCTTGCTCCCTACCCACTGCTCACTATGGGAGGTGTTACCCTTACTCTCTGCTCATTGTGGGAATTTGTAGTCATTACTCCTTGCTTTCAGGCTGACTTTGGATACATAGATGTATGTCTGATTATCAAGCAGGATAGAAATGTACTCTCTAGATCTTAAGATGAGCTGAGCCTGTGATGCTCAGATGTGCTGCTCTTGAGCCTGGATGTTTCTTACAACTGTAGGCCTGATCTGTGCAGGGGCCCACAGCGCAGCTGAGCAGAATATGACAAGTCAGCAGGAAAATGGTCTTTTTAAATATATATATATTAGTTTTAGGTGGACACAATATCTGTATTTTATTTTTATGTGGTGTTGAGGATGGAACCCAGTGCCCCCGCATCCCAGCTGAGCGCGCTACCGCTTGAGCAACATCCTCAGCCCCAGAAAATGGTCTTTTTACCAAGGGTCTCAGTAATTACCCTGGTAGGTTTTCTTCCTGCTTTCCTGTACCTGTTACCCAGGTGAGACCTTCATGGCCCAGGAGTATATATATGTTAATGTGCTTTGACTCTCAGTCTTCCTTCCCTAAATTCACACCAGTTACAAGGGTGCTTGCTCAGAACCAGGTCCTGGGCTATCCCTGCCATGGGGTTAGGGCATGAAAATCTCCATTTTTAAAATGAAATACTCAGGTATAACGATTTGGATGAAAGCGCCCCCAAAAGTTCCTATTAATGCAGGCATTTTCAGAGGCAAAATGATTGGATAATGATAGTTTTAACCCAATAGTCCATCCTAATTTGAATGAACTAACTGGGTGATAACTAGGCAGGTTGGACATGGCTGGAGGAGGTGGGTCACTGGGGATGTGCAGGGAAAATGCATTCTTTTAAGGAATTTGGACAAATCTGTCTTGGCCATCTTAGGAACAGAGCTCTTGGTATTTATTTTGCTCACCTGAAGGGACCTTTAAGGCAGTTTTTTTAGGGCCTCATGAGTACAAGGCAAGCACTGTACCTCTAGGCTATATCCCCAGCCCCTGCAGAAACCTTTAAACTGCCCACAAGGGACCTTGGAAGAACGCATCTTCCCTGAAGCTCCTTCCCTTCCCTCTGCTTCCAGGCTGCAGTAAGCTAGGCAGCTTTCTTCCACCATACCCTTCTGCTATGATGTTCACCTTGGGTCCAAAGCTATGGAGTCTGCCAACCAGGGACTAGAACTCTAAAACCAGAAAATCTCTGTGAGCCAAGGTGAGCTTTTTCTCCTCTTCATTCCTCTCATCAGGTATTATGATCCCAGCAATGAAAAACCACCTGATACACAAGTGCTCGCTGTGGACACAGCTGGAGAAAGTCCACGTGTTCAGCAGACAGATTCCACCAGAGAAGCAACCCGGGAGACTTAAGATGGGTCTCTTGTAGAATTTGATCTTACCACATTAAGAGGGCCTGGGTTAGTCTGTGAGGCCTTTGTTTTCTGTGTTTGGTATGAGAGCTGAAATCCACAGCATGGGCCATGGGATGGAGGTGGGGACACAAGGACAGATGGGACTAGAGCCTGCTGCTACTGAGTTTCCTGAGTCAGTCTGACCTGTTCTGACCTCCCTCTAGTGAAGAGATGCCAGATTCCTGTGCTGTGGGCTAGACACAAAGGGCCTAGAAGCTGAGGGAACTGGGAGCCCAGGTGTGATCACAGGAGCTGTGACAGCCCATCATCCTGTGGTTTCGTCAGCTGTTTCCCTGATAGGACTAAGAGACCCAATCAGAACAATTATAGAAGAGAAAAGCTTATTTGAGACCTCATGGTTTCAGAGATCTTGGTCCATAGAAGGTAGGCTCCATGCCTTGGGGCTCGAGGTGAGGCAGAACATCATGGCGCAAGAGCATGGCAGAGGGAAGCAGCTCACAAGATGATCAGGAAGCACTCACCAGRTATAAAATGCATACACCAAAGCCAGGCCTCCAGTGCCTTACCTCCAACCACCACCCCCACCCCCCGCCTGCAGTTAACCACTCAAGTCAATCCCATTGGTGATTAATTCACTGATTTGGTTAAGGCTTTCTCTGAACCTTCTTAACATTGTCTCACACATGAGCTTTTGCGGGGGACAACTCACATCCAAACGCTGTCCACCTGAACCTAAAAGATGGCTGGCTGGTGCCTGAACACTTTGCATGTGCAGCCCATGTAGTTCCTCAGCACCCACCCATGGTTTTCATGCCACCTCACATTCATATCTTGCAGTTCTTCCACAAGTAAACCCTGCCTCCCTACCAAGCTTCCTTGAGTAGCTGGGCTGCTTTACCAAGTAGGTGTGACATCATTAGTTTTAATACTGTCAAATTTTAAGTCTACTTGAACTCATCCCATTTGGAATCTAGGTAAAGTTTTATTGTCTCTACTGACACCTCCTCAACTCTTCAAGATTTCATGAATTGCTTCAGGGATTCTTTGAACCTGCACAATATGTTGCCATCGGGTGCTGCTGTCTGCTTCTAGTTGTGAAAAAAAAGACTGAGACCTGGTGTAGCTCAAACTCCTTCCCCACTCCCTGGGTTTCTAGCAGCAGGTGTGGACTCAACAGGAAGGAGCTTCACTCTTGGGGAGGGTGGCAGCCATGTCCATGTATAGTCCGGAGTGTGTGGGGCCGAAGGCCACAGTCCAGCACAAGTCGGGGCACTCTGGCCTTATCAGGCACGGGTATGGGAATGTGGTCTCATAGGACTTCTGTGGGTTATTGCCACATCTCTGCATTCGAGTTCCTTTCCTAGTGGATGTGTGTGCATTTTGAGGTGGCAGATTTCATCACTGCCTCAGATGAAAGGAAAGGCCTGACCATTTGGCCATGAGCACTCCAGGCCTGGAACCCTTACGCCCAGCGGGGGAATCACATTGCCTCTGACCACTTGGGCTTGAGTTCAGCAGCCACATTATTCTGTCTCCTGATTGTGAATCATCCTGAAAAACGTTTCTTCTATGCTAGGAAAATTTTTTAAAATGTGGAATGTGGATTGATGTCCATAAAGAAGGCTTAGGAACCATGGGTGATCTGAAGAGTGGGCTGCATCTTGGCCTGACTAGTCAAGTGCAGAACTCTTCCCTGAGATTTGTGGAGACTTGGTGAGGTCCCAGAAAGCGTGGGAAGTGAGACCCTCGCTCTTCAAGGAACGCCAGGGCTCCATGTCACTCTCCCAGCGGCCTCCAGATGGCAGTGTGGACTCATCTAACCCAGCCACTCACCTCAGGACTACAGTCTGCTACCCACACTTCTCTAGAGCTCAATAGCTGAGTTTCTAGGAGGTGTCACTGGGCCAAACCAAAACTCGTTCATAACCTAAGATGGGGACATTTTTGTGGACACCCTCATCAAAGTGCAGAGGGCCGAAGATGAATCTAGCAATGCCTGCATTAGASGAATCCTGGGTTCCTGAGAGGTGCAAAGGAAAGAGAGGAAGGAGAAGGGAGAGGAGATTAGTAATGGTTTGGAGAGACAAAAATCAGCAGGATTTTATTTTTGAACCGTATACTTTCATAAACGGGAATGACTGATCATAAGATACATTAAAATGCTTTTTCAGGGCTGGGGGTTGTGGCTCAGTGGTAGAGCACTTGCACCATGTGTGAGGCACTGGATTCAATTCCTAGCACCACATTAAAAAAATAAAAATATTGTGTCCATCTATAATTTAAAATATTTTTAAAATGTTATTTCCAGCCAACTGACTAGTGGCAGAACAGAGATAAAGACTCGGTATTTGTTTCATTCTCATTTTCACTCTTGGTTTTGTTTTGTGCTACCATGTTCTTTTAATATCTAGAACTTTAATAAAATCCTGTCAGATGAAACCCTATGCTAAGATGATAGGAGGGCCCATGTCTATAAAAGTGCCCTGAGATTTCTCGGTTGAGCAGTTTGTCTGCGTGGTATACTAGAAAGCACTCACACCCTCAAGGAGCAGAGTCTGACCAGCCAGGATATATGTTCCAGGGGACAGGCTGGTGTCCTATGTGGCATGCAACTTCAGGAAAGTACAAGAAAGGTCTTTTTTTCCTCATGTAGAACTTATGCCTTTGGCTTCCTGGGGTTGGGCAATGCTGCCCTGATCTGCCACTGCATACTTAAACAGTGACATGGACATCACCGGTGCTTTTGCTTTTGCTACTTTTTGCTCAAAGAAGTCAAGTACAAGGTGAATCTGCCATATATGGAGTAAAAGGGAAGTATATAATCATAACTACTAAACCAGAGGCTGAATATGGGGTTGATCATATATATGTGATACCATGTCCTAAGTAGAGGCCAAATGTGACTGTGTGTGTGACACTATCTCCTGAACCAGAGTTTGGATGCATGGTCAACCACGTGTGTGTGACACCATCTTCTGGACCAGAGTTGAGTTGTTGGCTGATCAAACATTTGAACCTAAGACTCTGAAACGCCAACCCTTGTGGTATATTTATTCAAGAGTCCTCATTTAATTAGTTTTTATTTTAATGTTATCATTATCTTAATAGCTATGGCTGAAGACTGTTTTCTTTTTCTGTCCTGACTTTTATTTTAGCAGCTTTTGTTAGCTTCTTAGATTTGACTGTGGAGCATCTCTGAGGCACCTGGAAAGGGAAGAGGCTACTACTTTGTCATATGGTTAGGCCAATTTTCCTCTTTAAAGACATCAAGAGCAGAGGGAGGGGGATGAGGATAGAAAGTACATTCCTTGCCTGTATGGTTTTGTTAAAATGAATCCGGTTAAATGCTCTAATTTTTAAAAATGTGAAGAACACGCCTCTATAAGATCTAAATGCTGTCCAGCTTCCACGGAAGTCATGCTGTGGGCTGCACCAGCCTGTTCCCAGCGTGGCCAGGAAGTGCTGCTTGCAGATTCTCTGGCCCTTCTCAGGCTTGGGGAATGAGACCTGCCAACATCTCACTCCGGTTTTGAAGCCTTAGGGAAGTTGTGCCACCCTTGTGAAGAGTTCTTAGAAGCTGCCTGCAGCAGCTCCTCCAGGTCAGCGCCCCGAGGGGCCAGTGCAGAACAGAGGAAGGATCAGAGAAGGAGGCTACTGGAGGCTCTGAAAGGACAGGACATGAAGCTGGCTGGCCTTGCTGTGCTATGAGAACATTAGGTACTGAGATGTGCTTTTCCAGGAAACCAGAATGTGCTCATTTCTGATGTTCAGTTGGAAATAGGAGCAGGGTGTATTCAGACACTTCCCAAATTCTGGGGACACACCAGTAAGAGATTAAATCCTGATTTCTGAAGGTAGACAGCAGTCAAGCACACCAGAGTACCCCTGGGCCTAGGGAGAGTTGTGAGGTGCATAGAGCAGGTATGTTTCCTCTGTGGGCCATCTTCATGGCTGCAAGACCCGAGTGGYGCCCCACAGCCAGAGTGTGGTCAAGGTCTTGGGCAGCTCTGTGTAGGGCAGCGGGAGATAGCAGCAGAGGAAGCAGACCCCTCCCACTTCACTCCAAGCTTGTCTCACTGCATGGGAAGTCAGGTGAGCAGCAGGGTGAATGTTCAATGACGTAGGTTAGACGTGACAACCACCAGGGTGTGGGGAGCAGAGGGCCCCTGGGATGGCGAGGGCCTGGGGCACCTTCCTGTAAGTGGGCAGCAGTGGGGCCTGCACTGTCTACCCATGACCATGCCAGTGCTGTTGTGGGTGCCTCCAAGCAGGAGGGAATCACTGCACCTGCTCTGCCTCACAGGCCTGTCTCTGGCTCCTTGGTGCACAGGCTTGGGACACCACTTCACAGAGTCCTTGCTGCTGGGTGATAAGAGTACATCTATAAAACAGATGCCTGTCACCGAGCAGTGTCTGCTAACATTCCCCAAGGACCAACAGTGGAAATGGTGGAGAGGTCTGTGAGCTAGCACTCCCGCAAGGCAGCTGGAACACCCACAGCAATGTGGCACGAGGGCAGGGTAGAGCGAGGAGATCCACAGAAGGCCAGCCCTTCACAGGGATGCAGGTTTTGAAAGTGAATCTAGTAATGCAGACGAGCATCCGAATCAATAACGTGGTGTGGCCTGATATGGGTGGTTTTCCTTATTTTATAGGCCTCATGTGATGGAGTTTTATCATTTTTTAGATTTTAGGACAAAACCATAGATTTAGAATTCTACATTTAATAACTCAAACTTTTGTATGATTCCAAAAGTATGAGCCAAATTTCATGAAATTTTCTTTTGATTGTGCCTGCAGTCTAGCAATCAATGAAAAAATGTAACTGGTAGCTTGGTTGGAGTTGATATGAAGTCATTTAAAGGATCAGCTCCTTCCTTTTAGCCCCGCGTCGCCGTCGCCCCGCATCACCGTCTGATCATCTGACTGGTACTGACCTCCTGGCTGCTGCCTCTGAGCTGCACAGGGTGGGCACAGGCATGGCTTGGGGATGATGAGAGTGGTCTCTTGGTGCAGAAGACACCACAGCTGCGTGACTCACAGGATAGCCCCAGGCTTCTCAGACAGACTTGATCGGTCGCCTGGAGAAAACCATAGAGAATTGACTTCTCAGATTTTGTGAAGCTGAAGAGGAGTTTTAACCTACAGCGCACATTGCACAGCTCTAATAAAGCAGATGATACCCGTGGGCGTGGAACTCTGGCAGAAAACAGAGCTGGCCAAAAAAAAAAAAAACGCAAATGGAAACAGCTGCTGCCTTCTTCACTCCACTGGAGACGGTGAGGCCATGCAGCCCCCCACAGAGGGGTGCTGGCTTCACAGCCTGAAGGGGTTGTCACCAACTCATGTGTCTCATGTTGGTGTGGGTTTGGGACAGACCTCCTTTCTTAAGTGTGCCTTGTCCTGTGTCCCTCATCGATCTGGTGGAAAGTAGATCTGGAGTGTGAGTGGCTTCTTCAGTAGCTTGAGGTTCCAGTCCACCCACTTGTCTGTATGGGCAAGGGTCCGCCACGTGTCATCCTAAGCAAGGGGACAAGAGGGCAGTATCTCCCCTTCATGTAAGGTGCCCGATGTGCCTGGCGGAGACAAGCCACTGTCATCTTGAATTCCTCATCACTCCATTCCTTCACTCTCGTGTTTCACCATGAAGCATGCTGCATGCACACAAACGAAGCTGAGAGGCCAGCACAAGGGCCCTTGTGTGCCCCTTGCCCTAACAGTAACTACCCACAGCCACCTTGCAGTGTTCCCCAACCTACTACCTCCCCACAGACTATTTTGAAGCAAATCTCCAAATTCTGTAATTCCATCTGCAAGTATTTTAGTGCCTCTAAAAGACACTGATCGTATTTTAATGAAATCACAGTATCATAATCCTAATTAATCACAGGAGTAACTCTTAACTCCTAATGTTAAAATCTTGTCTCAACTATCCATGAACAGTGTGTTGACAGCTGGAGCAGTCTCTCCCTCTCTCTCTCATTGCTTGCCAAGTTCACTTGAAGTCCACTTGCCAAGGAAGCAAGATGACTTGTGAGTCCCCACACTGGATGTCACCAATGGTAGTCCTGTGGTCTCTTCTCCGTCTTCCCAGACGTCAGTAGATTTTGAGGTTTCAGTTTCTCATCAGCAGTACTTTATGTTCATATAAGTCTCACTGGTTAAGTGAGCAAATTAGAACTGCTTCTACTAGTTAGATAACAATGTATGGAGACAGAAATCTTTGTGTGATGTGTTATCACTGAGTCTTGAGTTTGCCAATCTGACACAGACTCCATTTTTTACGAAGAGCCGAAGCTGCACTTTAGATCATCCAATCAGATGCAGCAGGACTGGCTGTCCTCTCCAGGGCCCTTCCTGCCTGCAAGGTGGCACCTACCTTCACGCAGACAGCTCAGGACAATAGTCCCCACACCTGCCGATGGGTCACAGTGGCTGGGAAGCACCTCTCCCCGTCTCAGCTTCTCCTCAAGGGTATGTTTTCTACTCTTTGTGTTACCCCACTCTGCATTAGTATAAATATCACTGGCTTTCTCTAGCAACAAATCTCCCGGATTTTCTGGTCCATTAGTTAAGGACTGTTTCTCTCGTCCTTGTGGTTGCCCTTACAGCTCATGAAGCCCCTGTATCAGCACTATTTTCTATGCTCCTAACTGGCTGGTAGCCTGATTGACATGTCTTCTTCCAAGGGACAGCAGCAATGACGCACCCCGTCTGTGTCCTTGCCCCTGTGGCCATCATCTTCATTATTGCTGCGCAGAGACTATTTCTGGTGGTGCATCCCAGCGACAGCTGTGGGCCACATTTAACCTGCAACTGAAGGCTCACATGGGACCCTTTGTGCTTCAGCCATGCAGACAGCTCTGCCTGACATAAGCGGCAGCAGCAGGGTAACTGTGACTCGGGAGTCTCTGGAGATTCAGGTAGTCCAGGTTTCCTTTTAGAAACTTCAGAGTCAAGCTATTCTTAGCAATGACTTCCAAGCTCCAGCTGCCTGGCCAGCTCCCTGCCTGTGTCTCAGATACCCAGTGGCCTTAAAAGGAGAGGACTGGAGAAATGTCACCCTGAGTCAGAGCCCGGCTGCACAGGCCAGCAGTCAACTCCACTGTCTCCACGACCCAGGGCCCTGGAGATGAGCCCAGGGGGACTGGGGCTAGGTGTCCCCTTGCTTTGTCTTCTGACGGTCACATTTCTTGCAGAACCAAGCTACCTGGAATCCAGTGTGCTTGGTGGAAGCACCCCACATGCCACCTGTGTGGTGTTGCCCCAGAGCTGGGCATCCTGGAGTGGGCCTTTGCCAGATAGACTCTGGAGGCTCTTGGTGGGCCAGGCCTTCCTACCAAGCCTGGAGTGCTAGCCCTGCCTCTGGGAAAACCACGTCCATGAGCCAGCTGCCTGGAAACTGCTCATCTTCAGACTGTAGCTCCTGGCACCTGTCTGTGGGGCAGCTCGCACCCCTCCCTATGCCTCCTGCTCCTTTCCCGACCCTACCCCTACACATTCACTCTGTGCTCATATTCCCCAGAGGGCAACGGCCTCACTACCTCTATACGCTAGCTCCACGGCTACCATTATTGCTTAATAATTACTTGTTATAAAATAATTAATTCAGTAGTCTTTTTGTGACTAAAACTTTGGCTGGCTGTTATAAATGACTTTGATTCTTGAAGAATGTGTTGCTATACTAGATGCGGTTTTGCAAAATAAACTTTCCAAATGTGCAATAGGAGTGGGGTAGAAGAGATAAAAAGAGTTCTCGGGGTAGCTTGAGGGACTGCTGAGCTGGCTCCTCCTCCCCACCCAGTGGGAGCTTGGTCTCCATGGTAAGGGTTTCTTTTCTGAGCTTAGGAAGCAGCAGCTGCCAGGGAGGACTGGGACAGCGCTGTGCAGCTGACTAGGGCCTTGCTATTGGCCTCAATGCTTTGCCCGTGTCTGGCTTGATGCCCTGTCAGCCGCCTTAGAGCTGGCTGCCAGCCCCTGGCTACTCCCCAAGGTCTGGGGGTCACTTTGTGACAAACAGCCCTGAGATTTGGGACTTGCTTTTTTCATCCTCTTCCTGTTTTGCAGTTTCCTATGTGCAAAATTTCCTATGAGCACCGGCCTCACTCCTCCTCCTCTTGGAGCCAAGCACCTGCCCTGGAGTCACCACCTCTGGTGGAAGCAAAGCAGGGAGCAGCAGCTGCAGGTGGCCTGGCCTCTTAGAGAGGTAAGGAAAGAGGCCCAGCACTGAGGATGGCAGACGTGGGACCATAAAGCAGGGGATAAGTGGCTCTGGCCAGTCTAAGAGCACTGTGATGAGGCAGCCATCCTGCCTAGCAGAGGCCGGCTCTGGGACATGGGCATCAGTGCCACTGGTGGAGACCCCTTGTGGCAGAGGCCCGGTGGCCTCTTGATGCTGATGCTGCTCAGCAGGGGTTTCTTTTCCTCTTCTCTCTCACCCTCCCTCACCTGGGGCAGGGACAGGATTACTTTTTCTCACCCCAGGCAGAGTTTATCTGTCCTTGAGCACACACCCACCACAGGAAGGAGAAGTCACCCGAGGACTTAGAAAGTGAAACTCTCCCAAATTAACAAGTGAATTCAGGGCACACCTAGGACTTGGCAGAGCACAGCCTTCAAAGAGCTTCTTTAAAAGCCCTCTGCTTTCCCTTGTAGGCAGAACCACAGCTTCCAGGCCAGGAGTCCCCTGTGCTTCTCCTTTGCTAGCAAAACAATAAACCTTCTTCCTTTTTCTCAAACTGTGTCCTCATTAAATTGGCATCACGAACAGGGACCAAGCTGTAGATGACACCAGAAAAACTGGACACCCAAACCAAGGAGCAGGTACAACCCTAGCTGTGACTTGCCAGGCTGTCCAGAAAGTAGGCAGGAGAGCTGGGCAGGTGAAGTGGGCAAGTATGGTGGGCAGGTGAGGGGAACAGGTGTGGTGGGCAAGTGTGGGCAGGTGAGGTAGACAGGTAAAGTGGGCAGGTGAAGTGGGCAAGTGAAGTAAACAGGTGTGGGCAGGTGAGGTGGACAAGTGGGGCAGGTGTGGTGGGCAGGTGAGGGGAACCACTGTAGGTGGGGTCCCAGGCAGTCTGCAGGTCTAAGTGTGGCACATGACCAACACTCAGAGTGTGTCTATTAGTGTTTCCTGTTGTTTTCCTTCTCCAAAGCCTTTGTGGTAAGAGAAGTTGCCCCAGGCTTCCAGGGACCCCTGCAGAACTGGGGGAGCCCACACACCCTCTGCAGCACCGCAGCAGCCTCCTGTCCCTCGCTGGAAATACTCCAGCATTGCTGTGTGGCCAGGGTGTCAGCAGGGGCCGTGGATCAGACCAGAGGTGCCAGTCTTTGGGGCCTGGGGCCAGCAGGAGGCTACAGGGGACGAGTGGCGGGGGTGGGGGCTGTGAGCAGAGTGCTGTGCTGCTCTTCAGGACCAGGACACCAGGCGTCCAGAGACCTATTTACAGTGCACATCTGGCCTGAGGAGCCCTACCCTAGGACTGCTGGCAGAGGGAGTGATCCTGGGGACTTGCTGGGCTCCGMAGGTAGGTGGCCTGGTGTGCTGCAGGCTGCGGGTAAGCAGCAGCATGTCCAGGTACAGAGTGAGCATAGACAGCAGAGCTCAGTCCCTCAGCCTCCCAGCAGCCTCTGGTTTCACGGTGCCTGGCCACTCGGGGCTGACTGTGGTCCCAATGTGATAGATGTCCATTTCGTGGAGACACTGAAGGATGGCATGGTAACTGGAGTAGAATGCAGACCAGTGTGACTGCCCACGGTCACCGGGCACCTAACCTCACCCAGCCGGCACCGTGAATGCATCCACACGCGTGCGCTGTTGGCGTCTGAGGCTGAGTGGGTCTTGTGGGCTCGGGGAAGGTGTGGGCTGGCTCCTTGGTGCCTCATGGCTGGGCAGTGCTTCTCTAGGTCTCTGAGTGCAGCCCTCTGGGGTCAGGGTGGGATGGCCCTACTCACCCAGAGCTCCTGTGCCCCCAGCGGTCATGAATTCCACTCAGTGTCAAGGTCATCAGTTGAGCTGGCCCTGGGTTTCCTCTGGGCAGCTGTGAGGCTGAGGATGCTCTGCCCAGGTGCTGTGTCCTGGCTCTGGATCGGAGCCAAGGGAGCTGTGCAGAGGAGGCCCCAGGTCCGAGGAGCGCAGTGCTGTCCTCTGTTTTTCAGGGAGATAACAAGAAGGCAGGTGCACATGGGTGCTGAGCGCGAGGCCAGAGGGAGGCCAGGGGTCACTGCGCCCTTGGTTCCTGCCTTCTCTGCCCATGAGTTTTGGGGGATGCAGTCACTGCATTCAGACACACCACCAAGGACACGCTCAGCCTGAGGCCCAGGCTAGCCTTGCTTGCCCCCGCATTTCCCTTTCTGTGGGCAGAGCGGGGCTTTTTTCAAGCCTTAGCTAGAGTTGGGGGCCAGCAGCACAGCCCTACCTGGGAGAGGGGCAGCAAGAGGTGTGTCTGAGGCTGCTGTCCTGATGGCCAGCTGCAGTCTCCCAAAAGGCCCACCTGTGCTGCCGCCCGCCTCCCTAGGCCTTTCTGGGGGCATGAGTGTAGAGGAAGCCTCTCTGATACCTGCCATCTTGGGCCTCAGGCCAGCAGTCACAGAGGGGTCAGCTGGGCCCCTGGGTCAGGACACGCAGGGGAGAGCTGGGCTGAGCTTGGAGCAGTGGTCCCATGCCCTGCCTGGCTGGCAGTTGCTGCCAGTGAATTCCGCGCCCCCCCCTAGTCCCCAGATACCCAGGTATCCCTGACGCGGCTCACTCAGAGCTCAGAAAAGGCAGCGAGGAAGAGAGACCACAAACACAAGCTGCCACAGGCAAAAACACAAAGAAACGCCGGGTCAAACACCCGTTCTCCCCACAGCTGTCAGAGAGTGGCACTGCCCTCCCTCAGGCCCACAAGGCCCTGGTATTCATGCCCCACCCCAGAGGTCCAAAGCTTTTAACAGTCCCATCCAGGCCACAAAAGCACCTGCAGGGGGTTGCGAAATCACCACTTGTGTTTTCTGAGTGAGGCAGCAGGAGCTTCGTGTTTCTGGAGGCCTGTTCAATGGATTTTGCTACACCTGGGGAGATGACAAACTCACCCAGGAATGAAGGGAAACTGACAGCTGGAAAGACAAGCCCTCCAGGGCACTAATGATTTCTCAGGAGGTCAGCATCTTTAGCTCTCTTTGGGGGAGTAGGACACTGAGGATCAGAGAGGGTAAATAATTTGCCCAAGGTCACACAGCTGGTGCCTGCTCGTGCCCAGGCCCTGAGTTCCCTCAACTCCGCACCTTGAAGAGCCTGGAGGTTGTGGGGAATGTGGGGGTAATGGACCATTTAACCTGGGGAGGTAACAGAGCTTTAGCACTGAAGGTCCTCCGGGTCCGTCAGGCCCTTTTCAGTCCCTTCTTCTCACCCATCATGAACTTGCTGACTGTACCAAGGACGGTGGTCTGGCGCCACGGGCTTCCCCATCCTGGGTCCGCTTGCCTGAGATCCTTCCTGAGGAGGAGGCCTTCCTTCACATTGTGTTGTCCAAGGTCGGGCATGAAATCACTGGACAGGGTGGCTCATGTTGCACAGGACCACTCGCACAGTCAGGCAACGAGTGGGTTTCACGCTACTGGGGAACAATCAGCAGAGCCTGGTGGAACCACAGGCCTGGGGCAACACCTTCTGCCTGTGGGGATCCACTGAACCCCCAACACACCTACTGTGCACAGGGCTCTGGCCTTCCCTCTGTGGGATAGTGCTGAACACAGGTGCTGCACACAATGCTGGTGGCCATCCACCTGAAACACTGCCAGGTCCCTCCCGGCCTGTGTCACCACACAGGAGCACATGGCACAGATGCTTTCAGGTTGCACAGGGGACCTCTGGGCTCGCCGGAGGAACACCAGACAGTCTTCATGTTCTCTTCCAACTCCAACAGTCTTGTCTGTGTTAAAACTTCTCCAGAAGATAGTTTAAATTGATTTAAATGAATATAAGCTGCAGGGGACTTGCTGCAGAGATAAGGGTCAAGTCTCCAGAGTGATCTCACTGGCACACGCATGACAACCAGAGGTCAGCCAGCAGCCACTCCTGGGCCTCGAGGCAGAAGGTCCCAGTATTGGGCACAAGGGCAACAGGCAGAGCTGAAGAGCAGGAGTGTGTTATTCTCTTGGCCTCCTCTGAGGCTTCCTGGGATCAGGGTAAATGGAGCCCTCCTGGGTCAGATTTGGGGGTCTTTCTACAGGCTAAGCAGCAGCTCAGGAGGGAGGGGAAGAGGAAGTACCTTCAGGTTCAAGGTTTCTATTCAAAACAATGTTCACAAGAAGAAAGAAGGGGCAACTGGATATCTCTGGGAGCCTGTAATGAGATAGGGAAATTTTTAACCTGTGTAGACCACCTGTTTGAATCTGCCTCACCAGGTATGGAGACGAAAGCCCCTATCGCCTGACAGCTGTTTGGTGGGGGATATGAAAAGAGTCTAGCCTCTTTTTAATGCCCAGAGGAACAGGTGTGACAGGCTGAGCCCTCTCTCTTGGGTGGCACTTCTGTTGACAGAATCAGTCAAGGGGCCCAGGTCCAGTATGGCTATTCTAGTTAATGACTTACTAATTCATCCATTTTTTTCATATGCTCTGTTACTAAACAACTACTCTGAGCAAAGCACTGTGCTGGACACCAAAAGGGACAGATAGAAGAACAAGGCTGCAGCATGATGGAGCTCCAGGAGGGGCCTGCAGTCCTCAGTTGCAGATTTGCAAGAAGGCAGTAGCCTGAAGTCCTCAGTGCACAATTGCAAGAAGGCAGCAGGATGGAGTTCTGGGAATGGCCTGGAGCCCTCAGTGTACATTTGCAAGCCTGCAGCAGAATGGAGCTTTTTGTGTGCACATCAAATTGTGCCTATTTTGTAAACCTGCTGCACTTTCTCCTTCCTGAAGTGAAGCCCACTGCAGGCTCTGGAACCTAGACAGTTTCTTGTCCCTGGTGTTTTCTGGATAATTCTAACATGTATATTTGTGTATATTGCTGTGTCTGCTTGAAGGAGTAGATTTACTGTAAGTTTCATCACCATATCTTGGACCACTAAGAAGGCATTGAGCAAAGACAAGGGATGAAGTGTCAGTCTGGCTTTATCAGCCCCACTATGCTGTGGACAGTTGTTTTTTGTTTTGTTTTGTTTTGTTTTTAATGTTTTTTAGTTGTAGATGGACACAATATCTTTATTTTTGTTTATTTTTTTTATGTGGTGCCAAGGATTGAACCTAGTACCTCATGCTTGCAAGGCAAGCACTCTACCGCTGAGCTACATCCCCAGCCCTGCTGTGGACAGTTTTATGTGGGCAAATTCTTTAATAGAAATAGAGGTTCCCACTGACAACTATCTCCCTGGTTCCTGAGTACAGACCAGTTGTTCAGATGACACACAGACTGCAGGCCACTTGCTTCTGCCAGGGTGTTTCCTCCAGGCCTTGGGCAGCTCAGGCACCTGCAGCCCATTGTTCCCACAGTTGAGGGTGGGACAACCACTGCAAGAGCATCGGCCAAACTGAGCAGAACCATGAAGAGCTGAGGTGGAGGTTGCCAAGACAGCAGCCGAGGATGAGAAGTCGCTCCCCAGTCCCCACCACACTCCATGCGTGGAGCTCTGAGTGCACAGCCAGCAGACCAGCACTTGGCACTGCCTTCTTGCCCCCATCGAGGGCATGGCAACTCGCTCAGTGGCCCTTTTGCTTGTTCTTATTGAAGCGAAGATTATTCGGTGGAAA